CCATCTTGCTCCAAAGTTCTTTTTTTTTTTTTCTTTTTTTGGTTGTTTTTTTGAGACGGAGTCTCGCTCTGTCGCCCGGGTTGGAGTGCAGTGGCCCCGATCTCAGCTCACTGCAAGCTCCGCCTCCCGGGTTTATGCCATTCTCCTGCCTCAGCCTCCCGAGTAGCTGGGACTACAGGCGCCCGCCACCTCGCCCGGCTAGTTTTTTGTATTTTTTTTAGTAGAGACGGGGTTTCACCATGTTAGCCAGGATGGTCTCGATCTCCTGACCTCGTGATCCACCGGTCTCGGCCTCCCAAAGTGCTGGGATTACAGGCTTGAGCCACCGCGCCCAGCCGCTCCAAAGTTCTTAACCACTAGACTTCCTGGCTCTCACCCTGTACGTGGGTTGCAGATATTTGGTTTTGTTATCTTATTTTTATTTTATTTTATTTTATTTTGAGACAGGGTCTCTGTCTGTCATCTAGGCTGGAGTGCAACAGCACAATCATGGCTCACTGCAGCCTCGACCTCCTTGGGCTCAGGTGATCCTCCCACACCTCAGCCTCCCGAGTAGCTGGGACCATAGGTTCATGCTACCACATCTGGCTAATTTTTGTATTTTTTTTTTTTTTTTTAGATGGAGTTTTGCTCTTGTTGCCCAGGATGGAGTGCAATGGCATGATCTCTGCTCACCGCAGCCTTCGCCTCTGGGGTTCAAGCTATTCTCCTTCAGCCTCCCTAGTAGCTGGGATTACAGGCATGCACCACCACGCCCAGCTGATTTTGTATTTTTAGTAGATACGGGGTTTCTCTATATTGGTCAGGCTGGTCTTGAACTTCTGACCTCGGATGATCCTCCCTCCTCGACCTCCCAAAGTGCTGGGATTACAGGCGTGAGCCATGGTGCTGGCCCTAGATATTTGTTAAGTGGACGAATAAACTATCCAATGGTTCCTTTGGAAACCTGAAAGGTTTTGGATGCAGTGATAGAGGTGCTCCAATCTCAAGGATTGGCTAAAAGTCATAGGAACTTGGGGCGGGGTAGGGTACACTGAACGGGGTCCACTGTCTCCCCAACTCTACCTCCTCTGCCCTCAGAGGAGAATCTGGTGTTTGTAATGCAGAATATGGAGAATGTGTACAAATGATAGCGACACTGACATTTACTGAGAGATTGCAATGCCCAGCCCCCAGCCTCAGAGACCCCCGCTAATTTTACTCCTTTACATCTTCTCAGGGATGTGGTGAGGTTAGAGACCATCATTATTCCCATTTCACTAGTGAGAAAACTGAGGCACACAGTAGGCTGAGTCCATGCCTCCCAAACTATCTGTGATGATGGAACTTCGAGAAAAAATGTTGCAATCTGTCAGGAATTATATTTTTATAATACACACAGTCACAATGGGATGTAGGCAGTGTCAAATTGCTATGAAAGTTGCTAAATGCTTATTCTCAGTTCTATACTTAGCATGTCGTGTCCACAAACAGTGTGTGGTCCAGCACCGGTCCTCGGACCGCGCCTTGGGTAGCGCGGGGTCAAGTCACAGCGTGTGACTGGGGGGGCCAGGATTTGGACCCAGAGTGTCTCACTCCAGAGCATGGGCTCTGAACCACTCACCAGAGGGGCATGGATCATGAGGACGAGCGGGGAAGGGTCTGCCTGCTGAGCAGATTACATAACAAATATCCGAGGGAGAAGGGGGAGAACGCAGGCTGGTGTCAGGACTGCCGGAGCCTCCGGCAGGCACAAAACAACAGCCTGTCTATGGAGAGAACCGGAGCAAGGAAACAGGCGCTGGTAAGAACTATTGCTGTGGGGTTTGAACTCGGCCCCTTTGAGGTTCTTTGGGAGTCACAAGGACATTCAGAAAGTTCGTTTAAATGACTTACAACTGCTGGATTATCAGGTCCCAGGAGGCAGAGACTGAGCTACGTGGAAGCCCAGCTTTTATTTGGGTTACACTGGCACTAGTATGGGTTTCCGCGCATCTCTCTCCACTCCCACATAAGTTATTTATGCTTATTTTATTACTTCTTTTTTTTTTTCTTGAGACGGAGTCTTGCTCTGTCACCCAGGCTGGAGTGCAGCGGTGTGATCTTGGCTCACTCCCACCTCCGCCTCCCGAGTTCAAATGATTCTCCTGCCTCAGCCTCCTGATTAACTGGGATTACAGGCATGCACCAACATGCCTGGCTAATTTTTGTATTTTTAGTAGAGACAGGGTTTCACCATATTGGCCAGGATGGTCTCGAACTCCTGACCTCATGATCGCCCGCCTTGGCCTCCCAAAGGACTGAGATTATAGGCATGAGCCACCGAGCCTGGCCTTTTTTTTTTTTTTTTGAGATAAGGTCTCACTCTGTCGCCCAGGCTGGAGGACAATGGCACCATCTCGGCTCACTGCAGCCTCGACTTCCCAAGCTCAGGCAATCCTCCCACCTCAGCCTCTTGAATAGCTGTGACTATAGGCACACACCACCACTCCCAGCTAAATTTTTTTTTGTATTTTTAGTAGAGAGAAGTTCACCTTGTTGCCCAGGTTGGTCTCAAACTCCTGGGCTCAAGTGATCCACCCGCCTTAGTCTCCCAAAGTGTTGGAATTACAGATGTGAGCCAACGTGCCCAGTCCACTCCCAAAGAATTTAAAACACCACTAAATTATTACCTCCTGAGGGTTCAGTGAATACTCCTGGGGTTAGTGAAGAATGAATACACAGATAAGGGATCAGCCATAAAGTCATCCTTCCATGTCCACTGTGTGCAAGGCTCAAAGCCAATGCCAGATACAGAGGGCCAGGAGGAGACCCAACCCCTTCTACTATCAAAGAGGGTCAGCCAAAGGGGGTCATCGATGAGGGATGGGATTAAGAGTGGCTGTATTAGTCCGGATGCGGTGGCTTACGTCTGTAATCCCAGCACTTTGGGAGGCTGAGGCAGGTGGATTGCCTGAGGCCAGGAGTTCGAGACCAGCCTGGCCAACATGGCAAAACCCTGTCTCTAATACAAAAAAAAAAAAAAAAAGAGTGAGTGGTTATATTTTCTTCATCGGATTCATCTGTATTTTCTACAATATCTACAATAGGCATGCATTACTTATGTAATAAGGATGAGATTATTTTGGCAAAAATGCCACAGTTCCCACTTTAAGTTTGCCCCTAGTTCAGCTGGAGAAAAGACAGTTGGCCCATTGAGGGTAAGGATACCACAGACGAAGGTGCTCAATACATGTCTGGGTTACATTTCAGTCACGCACCAGGAGCGGAAAAGGTCGAAGAGGCCTTTCTGAGAAGGGTTTCTTTTCTTTGTCTCTTTATCTCCTGCCGCTGCCGGTGCCGCCGCCCCTAGTGTGGAAGCTCACTGTGGACAAGGTCAGTCTGCGTGGGGCTGTTCCCTCCACTGGGGCAGGGTCTGTGACAGCCACAGTCACCCCAGCATGGCTGGCAGGGTCGGCTCCTTCCTGGATGGCTGACGTCTCCTTCCAGCTCTCTGTTCAGTTTCCAAGGGGACCAGGGACAGAGAAAGGCAGGCAGCACAGCCCCCGGACCTGCAGAGCCACAGCAGCGAGGTGCTGCTTCACGTCCCCCTGGGTCTCTGTGGCCCTGGCCCTGCCACAGCCACGGCTGCCTCCTCCCTCCCACTTACTTCCGGTCACCTGGCAGGCGGGTCCCTGGGGGCAGAGCACAGGGTCCCCAGCTTTGCTCCTCGCTCTCCTCCCAGCTCCTGCCTCTGTTTCTGGCTGTCTCAGCGGCTGCTCAAGGTCAAGGAACAAACAGATAAACCCTTTCTCTGGAACCGGCTCGGAGAGGACGCCTCCAGCTAGAATCCAATTCTGAGTCAGGGCCAGGGCTCTCTCTTTCCTGCGAATGTGAAGACAGGAAGGAAATTTTTGCAGCCATAAAATCGGTAAAAATGTTTTGTAGGCAGAGAAGAGGCCAAGCCGTTGGCTTTGGTTTAAGGCACAAACAGCAAAAGGGAACGGTCAGACCCGGGGAGGGAGGGCCTGGGGAGTAAACTCTAATATTCGGGCAGCCAGAGCAAGACTTTTGTTGCCCCAGGGCCAATCAGGTGTTGGACATGGCGTGGAGGACACGGACTTGGTCCCCGGCTCACCGGGACGGGAAGATATGGGGGTCTGACCAGGCAGTTGAAGACTCGGGACTCTTCTAGGCTGTTGGCCAAGACGGCCGGGAGCTGGAGCCAGGACCATGGATTCAGAGACGCAGTGTGGACAGCAATGAATTTGATGGCTCTCATGTCTTAGAGGGACGAACCTGGAGCCCAGAGGAGTGGACATGGGCCAGCCTGGGAAGGTTGTGGCGGGGATTTAGGACTTTATCCAGAAGGCAGCGGGAGGAATGAAAATGGAGAGAGGGGGACGTGGCCCAGCTTATGTGTTAGAAACACTCCTCTGACTGGCCGGGTGCGGTGGCTCACGCCTGTAATCCTAGCACTTGGGGAGGCCAAGGCGGGTGGATCGCCTGAGGTCAGGAGTTCGAGACCAGCCTGACCAACATGGAGAAACCCCGTCTTTACTAAAAATACAAAAATTAGCTGGGTGTGGTGGTGCATGCTTGTAATGCCAGCTACTCAGGAGGCTGAGGCAGGAGAGTCACTTGAACCCGGGAGGCGGAGGTTGCAGTGAGCCGAGATCGTGCCACTGTACTCCAGCCTGGGCAACAAGAGTGAAACTCCATCTCAAAAAAAAAAAAAATAAAAAATAAAGAAAGACTCCTCTGACTGCACTGTGTGTGTGGCCTGGAGACAGGAAGGGCAGCGAGAAGGCGGCTGCCATGCCCACCCATGTTGGTGACCAGGCAGGGCGAGGATGATGGAGAGTCTAGGTGTGCTGTGGGCAGAATCGTTAGATCCTGGTGACTGGATATGGCGGGGCGTTGGGTAGAGAGGAAGGGGATAAGGCCGACACCCAGGAGCCCCAAGAGGAAGAAGAGAAGGAGGTGGTTTTGGGGGAGGTTTCATATTTTTGTGTGTTTTTGTTTGTTGGTTTGTTTTTGTAGAGAGACAGGTTCTCACTTTGTTCCCCAGGCTGGTCTCAGACTCCTGGCCTCAAGCAGTCCTCCCACCTTAGCCTCCCAAAGTGCTGAGATTACAGGCGAGAGTTACCGTGCCTGGCCACTTGCATTTTTTATCTCTTGAATATTTGGGGGGCTCTGGCCAAGTCCGTGGGGCAGGACACCAAGAAGGATAAGGCACAGCCCTGCCCAAAGAAGCTGGAATCCACACATGGCAACAAAAAGCCTGCAGGGGTGGAACTGCAGGCTTTAACTATGAGCATATGGGGAGTTTAAAAGATTGGGGAGCCTGGAGGGACGTGGGGGACAGGCCTATTTGGAAGGGCCAGTGGTAAACAGCCAGACGACAAGGACCTGGCCTTCTGTACCTTCCACGTTCCCTTCTCACCTGGCCCTGCTCCGTGCCACGCAGGTGGTCCCAGCTCCACGGCCTGGCCCTGTGACCCAGCTCCAGCCTCAGTAGCCTCTCCTGTGCTCTGGTGGGCCACCCGCTCTGAAGTGACTGCCAGAATGCGACTGGATGGTCCTCAAGAAGCCTCTTGCCTCCTGTCCTCTGTTGGGAAGACCTTCCCTTCTTCTCCAGTCCAGGAGCCTCCGACTCATTCTCCTGCCTCAGCGTAGGTTTCTTCCTTCCTAGCCCCGAAACTGGGCTGGGCGCACCTCTCCTGTGCTGAAGAAATGTTCTTCGGATGGAAGGATGAAGGGACGAAAGGATGGAAAAAGATGGAAAGATGGAGTGTGGAGGGATGGGGGGTGGAAGGATGGAGGGATGGGGGATGGAGGGATGGAGAGATGGGGGATAGAGGGATGGAGGGATGGGGGATGGAAGGATGGAGGGATGGGGATGGGAGATGGAGGGATGGGAGGATAAGGGATGGAGGGATGGAGGGATGGGGATGGGAGATGGAGGGATGGGAGAATGGGGGATGGAGGGATGGAGGATAGAGGGATAGAGGGATAGGGGATGGAGAGATGGAGAGGTGGAGGAATGGAGGAGGGGGGATGGGGGATAGAGGGATGGAGTGAAGGGATGGGGATGGAGGGATGGGAGATGAAGGGATGAAGGGATGGGGTATGGAAGGATGGGGGACGGAGGATGAGGGATGGAGGGATGGGTATGGGAGATGGAGAGATGGTGGATGGAGGGATGGGGATGGGAAGATGAAGGGATGGGGAATGGAGGGATGGGGAATGGAAGGATGGGGGATGGGAGGATGGAGGGATGGGGGATGGAAGGATGGGGATGGAGGGATGGGGGATGGATAGATGGGGATGGGAGGATAGGAGACAGAGGGATGGAAGGATCGGGGTATGAAAGGATGGGGGATGGGGATGGAGGGATGGGGGATAGGAATAGGGGGTGAGGGATGGGAGATGGAGGGATGGGGATATATGGTGAATGGATGGATGGACAGGGGGATGACTGGAGACCTAGATAGGCAGATGATGGACGGAAAGGCAGACAGGCAGTTTGGGCAGGTGGAAGGGCAGGGGAGGAGTGAACTGGACAGAGGAAAGGGCAGGTGGTGGGTGGTGGAGGTGGAGGGTGGTGGAGGCGGTGGTTGGTGGAGGTGGAGATGGTGGGTGGAGGTAGTGGGTGGCAGTGGTGGGTGGTGGAGACGGTGGGTGGTGGAGGTGGAGGTGGTGGGTGGAGGTGGTGGGTGGCAGTGGTGGGTGGTGGAGACGGTGGGTGGTGGAGGTGGAGGTGGTGGGTGGAGGTGGTGGGTGGCAGGGTGGATGAATGGAAAGGAGACAAGATTGGCTCAGCAGGCTGAGGTTTGCCCTCTCTCTCCGTCCCCCCAACATGGATGGGCGGAATGAGTAGGAATCTTTCTCTCCTGACTCCTCCTCAGACCCCTCAGCTTCCTCAGAGCACACCCTACACTGGATGGGACCTGCTGGGCACTGCAGCCGGAGATGTAACTGGCACCAGGAACCTCCCTCCATCTTGTCCCTGTCCCACAGCTCTTCACCCGTGGGTGTCTTTTTGCCGACTGGTCTGATTACTGGCGAGAATCTGGTGATTGGGGATGAAAGAAGTTCGGGTCTCCTCTACACGTCTGTTTTCTTCCTGCTTCCTTTCTTGCCTTCTGCCTCCTCCTCCTCCTCCCATGTCTTTCCAGCAAAGCACAGGATACCCAGATGGCTTGGGCCAGGCTGAAGGCACAGCCGTAGCCAGCAACCAGTCACCCGAGCCCTGCTGCCTTCGGCCCCTGCCGGCCCAGCCAGTGCGGGTCCCTGCTGCCTGGTGCCCACCCCGCCCGCCCGGCAGCTCCGATTTTCAGCTTGGGTTTGATCGGCTGCCAGGATCTCCCAAATGTCAGCTGCAACGTTAGCATCTTTAAGAGAGCGCCCGAGGCGATCTTTAAGCTGGGAGGCTGGGCCCCATGCTGATGAGAGGAGTCTGCTCCGAGCTGACAGCTCTGCCTCCTGCCTCCCCGGCCTTGGTTCTGGGAGCCTGTGGCCCCCATTCTTCGGGCTGGACAGCAGCAAGACTCTTTTTTGAACCTGGGTGAAGCAGGGCTTTGCCAGCTGAGATCAGTCCCTACAGCAGCCCCCACCAGGGAGCCCCAAGAAGGAGGGGAGGGGCCTAACCCAGAGAGGGAGTGGATATATATTTGTTAACTGAATGGCTGCATGAACCTCCAAAGCTGCCTTAGAGGCGAGTGCTGACGGCGCTTTCTGCCCTGCCATCACCTTCAGGGGGAGATACTCAGGGTGGGGACATGGGCAAAGGTGCCCAACTCTGGCTAGGGGCCTGGGCCAGTGTCCCAGATCTAGCATGTGGGAGCTGTGTGACCTTGGAGAAGTTGCCAGCCCTCTCTGAGCCTCAGCTTTCCCATCAGTGAAAATGTGGGCTAGGGGATAGAATGCCAGAATGCCAGCTGCGTAGAGTTGTTGGGGAATCCAGGGAGATGAAGAGATAGGAACACCTGCTACCTTGCAGACACATAGTAGGTACTCAAGGAAGTCAGTCCTTTCCTCTTCCCCCCTCCCTTCCCTCTTCCCTCTCCTCCCCCAGGGCTTTTTTTTTTTTTTTTTTTTTTTTTTTTTGAGACGGAGTCTCGCTGTGTCGCCCAGGCTGGAGTGCAGTGGCCGGATCTCAGCTCACTGCAAGCTCCGCCTCCTGGGTTTACGCCATTCTCCTGCCTCAGCCTCCCGAGTAGCTGGGACTACAGGCACCCGCCACCTCGCCTGGCTAGTTTTTTGTATTTTTTTTAGTAGAGACGGGGTTTCACCGTGTTAGCCAGGATGGTCTCGATCTCCTGACCTCATGATCCGCCTGTCTCGGCCTCCCAAAGTGCTGGGATTACAGGCTTGAGCCACCGCGCCCGGCCTCCCCCAGGGCTTTCTATTCCCTGTCACTGAAGGGCTGAAGGGCTGTCACTGTCTGAAGCCTCCATGTTTTCCCTTCCAACCCTCAGAAGGACAAGGGCGATGATTCTTACTCTGTGTTGTCCGGGACCACACAGCAGGTCGGAAGCAGATGTGGAGGCTGCCCAGTTCCAGACCAGCTTGTTCTGCTAGTGCCTGGTCCCAGGACTGGCTCAAGTGCCCATGGCATGCTCCCCTGTGCCCTGCTAATCGATGTCCCTTTGCAGGGTGGTGAGGCTCTGGGAGTGAGCTAGTGGCTTGTTCTTTTTCCACATTTTTGAGGCCTCTCTCGGGACTGAAATACCCAGGTGGAGAAGTGAGTGACTCGGGAAAGGAAGGAAGGCAAAGAACCCAGAGTCTAATTCTCACCCAAGTGGAGGTGAGGCGGGAAGTGGGGGCGCTTGAACCTCTTACGTGGGAGTTGCAGCCTTGGTGGGACCTGTCAGAACTGGTGTGCTAAGCCAGGGGTGGGAGTCGGTGACTTCCACAGGGACAGCATCAGCAGCCAGCTCACAGAAGCATATGTTTCAGAACCAAAAGGTGTAGGAGCAAGGCTCAGAATAAAAATAAAATGAATGGATGGTGGGTGGGTGGTAGGTGGATGGATGGAAATGTGTGGATTGAGAATGGGTGAATGGGTGATGGTTGGCTGGATGGATGGATGATGGATGTGTGAGTGAATGGAGGGTGGATGGCTATATGAGTGGGTGGTGAGTGGATGAGTGTGTGGAAGGGTGAGTGCACAAATAGGTGGATGGATGGGTGGATGGATGGATGGATGGATGGATGGATGGATGGACGAGTGGAGGGTAGATGACTATATGGGTGGGTGGTGAGTAGAAGAATGTGTGAATGGGTGGGTACATAGATGGTTGAATGGATGGATGGTGGATGAATGATGGATGGGTGGGTGGTGTGAGTGGATGCATGTCTGGATAGATGGGTGCATAGATAGGTGAATGGATGGGTGGATGTGTGGATGGATGAGTGGATGGATGGATGGATGGATGGATGGATAGATGGGTAAGTGGAGGGTGGATGACTATATGGGTGGGTGGTGAGTGGATGAATGTGTGGATGGGTGGATATATGGATAGATGGATGTATGGATGGATGAGTAGATGGGTGGGTGGATGGATGAATGGCTGAGTGGATGGATGGGTGGATGAATGGATGAGTAGATGGATGGATGGATGGGTAGGTGGGTGGGTATATGGATGGATGGATGAGTGGAGGGTGGATGACTATGGGTGGGTGGTGAGTGGATGAATGTGTGGATGCGTGAGTATATGGATGGGTGGATGGATGGATGAGTAGATGGGTGGATGGGTGGATGGATGGATGGGTGAGTGGATGGATGGGTGTATGAATGGATGAGTAGATGGGTGGGTAGATGGATGGATAGATGGGTGGATGGATGGATAAGTGGAGGGTCAGCGACTATATGGGTGGGTGGTGAGTGGATGAATGTATGGATGGGTGGAAGGATGGATGAGTAGATGGATGGATGGATGGATGGACGGATGGACAGACGAATGGATGGATGGATGGATGATGGATGAGTGGAAGGATGTGTAGCTGGGAAGATGGATTGGTGAGTGGGGTCTTGGATAGTTGGGTGGGTGAGTGGATAGGTGAATGGATGGATGGATAGAAGGGTGGGTGGGTGAATGGATCAGCAGACAGATCAGCGGATGAGTGGGTGGAGGGGCAGATACATGGATGGGAGGACTGGTGGATGAGTAAGTAGGCAGGTGGAGGTAGCACTGGCATACAGCAAAGAGCACACTGTTTGAGGCTCAAAATTCTATTCACAGCAAAATCCAACATGGAAAACGTCCACATTCCTGAATCTGGTCAAACCTGGCTGATACAAGTCGGGTTAAGAGACCATCTCTAAGGTCAAGGAAAAGTGGATTCTAATCCTAGTTCTCACACTTGGTTCTGTGGGATCTAAAGCAAGTCACCACGTCTCCCTAAGTCTTATTTTTTTCTATCTGAAAACAGATATAACAGCAGCATTCACCTTCTAAGATAGCCAGGAGGCCCCATGATAAAATGCATGTGGGTCTGGCATGGTGGCTTATGCCTATAATCCCAATACTTTGGGAAGCCATAGCAGGAGGATCACTTGAACCCAGGAGTTTGAGACCAGCCTGGGCAACATAGGAAGACCCCAGCTCTACAAAAAATTAAAAAAAAAAAAAAATCCCGGCTACTGGGGAGGCTGAGGTGGGAGGGTCGTGTAAACCTGGGAGGTTGAAGCTGCAGTGAGCCGTGATCGCACCACTGCACTCCAGCCTGGGTGACAGAGCCAGACCCTGTTTCCAAACAAAACAAAGCAAAAACCACACATGTGAGGCCCAGAGCAGGGCTTTGCGGGTGCTCAGGGAGGCAGCGTGGCTCTTGCTATCACCTCGATCCCTTGATCCAAACCACTCCTGCTTGTAAAAACGAGTGTCACTTGTCCGAAAGCCTGGGTGCACAAAGGTTTCCCACATAGGGAAGCTTCCAGAGAGTCAAGAACCCTGAGGAACAGGCAGGCTCACAGCCATGGCTGCCACCTCCAGTGCAGTCATTCCGCGGCCTGAGGGCATCATGGGCTCCTCATCCTGGATGCACCGATCACCAGCTGGGTGACCCTGGATCAGTGGCTTCACCTTTCTGAGTCTTGGTGTCCTCACCTGTGAAACACGGGCCTGAGAGTTACCGAGGAGCTATGCAGTTTGTCTCCGTATCACCATCTGGCTTGCTCCCACCCCCCACCCCTAACCCCCCACTCCCCTGACAGGGGCGAGGTCAGCACCCTCTGTAGCTGGAGCTTTGCATGTGGAAGCCTGGGGAGGTTTTGGGGCTGACATGGGTGCTGAGCTGGGATGAAAGCACAGAATGCCTGGGGGGAGCCCCTCTACCTCTCCCAGACTTTGCTCCCAACCAGTCCTGAGCTCCCCTGCTGGAGCCTCAAGGCAGACCTAGCTCTGCAGCCCTGTCTGCCCAAGGTCCCTCCTGCTGCGACTCCCTGCAGCCTGCATTTCATAGTCAGTAGTAGGGTTGGGAGGGTCCTTGCTGTGGGCTGGGAGAAGTCACGGGGCCCTCCTCACAGTGGAGCCTTAAGAGATTGCCCCTATACGAATCACGAGGTCAGGAGATCGAGACCATCCTGGCTAACGTGGTGAAACTCTGTCTCTACTAAAAAAATACAAAAAAATTAGCCGGGCGAGGTGGCGGGCGCCTGTAGTCCCAGCTACTCGGGAGGCTGAGGCAGGAGAATGGCGTGAACGTGCGAGGCGGAGCTTGCAGTGAGCCGAGATCGCGCCACTGCACTCCAGCCTGGGCGACGGAGGGAGACTCCGTCTCAGAAAAAAAAAAAAAAAAAGAGATCGCCCCTATAGCCCCTGCCCCCCGGGGACCTCCGACGCTTCGCTGATCCAAGGGGCACCGACAGAGTCCATGGGAGGTTAGGCAGCCCCAGTGAGGAGGTTGTTGGATCTGTGCCCCTCAGGCCTGAGCTCAGGAGAGTTGCCCCTGCGGAGGGGTAAGATGGAGGCGCCCCAGAGGCAGCAACAACAGAAGGTCCCAGCTCCCTCCAGCCCTGGGCTACTTCCTTTCCTTCCCCAACGGCTGCAGACTCTGGTTAAAATGGCACCTCCGCCATCTGTCGTCCCTCCCCCACCCCGTGGGCATGGCTGTGACTGGGGGCTGGCTGGCCTCGTAAACAGGCGGCTGGCGGGTCCCCAGGGCCGGCGGGTGATAGGGCTTGTGCTGGCACCGAGGCCCAGCCAAGGGCTGGAGCCGGAGGGGCCCCAGGGCGGCCGAGCTGGGGGCAGCGGCAGGGCGGGGGTGGGGGTAGGCAGACAGGATACCAGGTAGCAGGAAGGTTTCCGCGCCTAAGGGGGCCTGGGTGGTGCCCCAGCTACCTGGCCGCTCCGAGACCTGTGGACCCCTTCTCCTAACTGTGCCCACCCCATCCCCAGCATCTGCAGTCCCGGCCCTCTCGCATTCGCCCCACCGCGCTTCGAGAATCTTAAATCAACGTTGGGGTGTGAGAAGCTCCGTGGAGCCCCCACCACCACTTCCCCGCTACTGCAGCGTACACCATGCCGTGGGGATCCTTGCTTTACAACCAAGGAAACTGAGGCCAGAGATCAGGGAGGTGGGAAGGCTGGGCGTGGACCAGAACTTTCCTCCACCTGGTTGCCAGCTAGTGGCGGTTGTGGGGTGAGGGGCTGTCCCAGGGGCCAAGCTCGGGGCCCTGACACTGTAAACAAGCTTCCCAGCCTCAGTTTCCCATCTGGGGAATGGCGGAATCAAGGCTGCTGCGGAGGCAGGAGGGGCTGTCCTGTGAGCCAGAGAGCACCGGGGACCTGCCATTCTCTCACAGTCCCCTCACCTCTCCACGAGGGAGGACTCGTGGCAGCATCCCGGGAGGGGCTAGGGGTGGGCGCCAGGGAATCTGTCCAGGTCAGTTCCCTGACTACCCCTCCCCGGGGTCAGCGGCTTTTCCCTCCCCCAACCACTGTGCTGCCGGCCGCTCCCTCCTCTCTCCCGCCTTCTGACTGCCAGCTCCTCCCCGCAAAGCCCCCAGACCCCAGCTGCAGGGATTTTACAGCTTTGACCAGCAGCTCAGCCTCCCCCTGCTCCTCCTCCCTCCTCCCCCGCTTGCATCTCCCCCCTCCAGCCTCCTTCCCTCCTCCTCTCCATCTTTCCCCTCCATTCTCCTCCTCCCTCCTCCTCCCCCCTCTCTCCTCCCCTCCCTTCCTGCCTCCGCCCTCCCGCTCCCTCCCTCCCGCTCTCCGGGGGAAGAAAGGTCACCGTGCAGCTGATTACTCAGAGCTCAGTTGCTGTAGCAACCGGCGGGGGAAGTGGGACAGGCTGGCTTTGAGGACGCGCGAGGTCGGCCGCGGGCGGCTGGAGCCGGCGCGGGCCTCTGTGCGCCGCGAGAGGGAGGCCGCCTGCAGCCCGGCTGCTCGGCCGCCGCGGGCCCGGCTCCGGGGGTTCAGTTTTAATGAAGAATCCCTGCTCCCTTCTCGCGCCCCTCCCGACTTCAGCCCACCTCCCTGGGGTCTGGAAGGAGAGGGTCGCCCCTCCCCGCTTTGGCTGCTAAACTCTCTGGCTCTCCCCACCGCCGCTGCCTGGGTTCTGGTGGCTTTCTTCCTCCTTGCCTGTCGGAGCTCAAGGGACAAGCCCTTTCCCTGGCGCGTGCCCGGTGAAACCCTCGCACCCTTCCCCACCCCCACAAGCTTTTGGCATTGGCCTGGGAGACCCCAGGCATCTTCAGCCCAGCCAGGGACAAGGGTCCGCGGAGGGTCTGGAGCCCCTCGTGGGCCTGGTGCCCATGGTGTGCCCACCCCTGCCCTCCAGGAGCCCCTGGGCCCTGGGAAGGCAGCGCTCTGTTCAAGGAGGAAGCCAGACCCAGCTACAGGGAGGGGCCCCCGGCTGATGCAGAGAGGCCGGAACCCGCATCCCAGGCCCCGGCAGTCTGCTGGTTCCTTCTCCAAGGCCGGTGGAGAGAGGATCCCTGAAGCTTGGCAGTGACAGTCACAGGTTCTGGAGTGGGCTGGGCCTGGGTTCAAATCCCACACCCCAGTGCGACCCTCCTCTACCGCTGATAGGAATGAGAAGTGGTTCGACCACTTTTGGAAAACATTTGACACCTTTTTAAAAAGTTGAACATACACTTACCACAGATCTGACCATGGCACTCCTAGGCATTTATCTCCAAGAAATGAAATCTCTGCCGGCGCGGTGGCTCACGCCTGTAATCCCAGCACTGTGGGAGGCTGAGGGGGGCGGATCACGAGGTCAGGAGATCGAGACCATCCTGGCTAACACCGTGAAACCCCGTCTCTACTAAAAATACAAAAAATTAACCGGGCATGGTGGCGGGCACCTGTAGTCCCAGCTACTCGGGAGGCTGAGGCAGGAGAATGGTGTGAATCCGGGAGACGGAGCTTGCAGTGAACCGAGATAGTCCATTGCACTCCAGCCTGGGCAACAGGCTGGGCGTGGTGGCTCACAGCTGTAACCTCAGCACTTTGGGAGGCCAAGGCAGGCAAATCACCAGAGGTATGGAGTTCGAGACCGAGAGATGGTGAGACCCCATCTCTACAAAAAATACAAAAATTAGCCAGGCATGGTGGCATGTGTCTGTAATCCCAGCTACTTGGGAGGCTGAGACAGGAGAATCGCTTGAACCCAGGAGGTGGAGGTTGCAGTGAGCTGAGATCACGCCACTGCACTCCAGCCTGCACAGCAAGGGCGAAACTCCGTCTCAATTAAAAAAAAAAAAAAAAAAGGAATTAGCCAGGCATGGTGCACACCTGCAGTTCCAGCTACTCAGGAGGCCGAGGTAAGCGGATCGCTTGAGCCAGGGAGGTCGAGGCTGCAGTGAGCCATAATTGCGCCTCTGCACTCCAGCCTGGGTGACAGAGCGAGACCATGTCAAAAAAGAAAAAAAAAAGAAAGAAAGAAAAAGAAAACAATGAAACTCACGTCCACACAAAGACTTGCACATGTTCACAGCAGCTTTATTTGTAAAAGGCGGAAACTGGAGACAACACAGCGTTGCTCCGTCCTGCAGGCAAAGGGAGCAACAGGTTGTGGCACATCCGTCCCATGGAAGGCGACTCAGCCACAGGAACAACTGTGCACACAGCATCACAGCACCAAGACCGGGAGAGGAGCTGGCAGCCACCAGCACACACGTGGGGGATTCTGTTGGTGTGAGGTCCCAGAAGATGCATTCGACTCGGTAATGACAGAAAGCAGCTCTGTGGTAGCCTGCGGATGCTGGGGGCCAGGAAAGACTGAAAATTGTCACCAGGAAACTTTTTCTCCCTTCCTTCCTTCCTTCCTTCCTTCCTTCCTTCCTTCCTTCCTTCCTTCCTTCCTTCCTTCCTTCCTCCCTTCCTTCCCTCCCTCCCTCCCTCCCTCCCTCCCTCCCTCCCTCCTTCCTTCCTTCCTTCCTTTCGAGACAGGGTCTCACTGTCACCCATGCTGGAGTGCAATGGTGCAGTCATAGCTCAGTGTGCACCCTCCATCTCTTGGCTTCAGGTCTCATCCTCCCAAGTAGCTGGGATCACAGACACATGCCAGCATGCTAATTTTTGTATGTATGTATGTATGTATGTATGTATGTATGTATTGTAGAGACAGGGTCTCCCTATGTTGCCCAGGCTGGTCTCTAACTCCTGGCCTCGGATGATCCTCCTGCCTTGGCCTCCCAAAGCACTGAGATGACAGGTGTGAGCCACTGTGCCCAGCCAGCATGAAGAAACTTTTGCAGGGACAGGGGGCATTGGGGTGGCGTGGGGGTGGATGTGTTCACCGTCTTGATGGTAGTGATGGTTTTAGGGGTGTGCTGCACCTATGCCAAAGCTCATCAAGCTGTGCGACTGAAATAAGTGCAGTTATCTGGTGTCCATTATGCCTCAATACATTGAAAAAGCAAATTGCTGCTCTACCACGTTGATGTTCACTTCATTTCTCACTCAAGACAATGGAGGAAGGATGGTACCAGCCTCCTGGGTTGGCTCTGAGAATTCAGCTACACAGTATTGGTACATTGTTCGGCTCCACCCTGGGCAAATCATGGGTGCCTGATCCAGGGCAGAGAACAGGACTGTAGGGCTGCAAGACAAAGGCGCTTCAGCTCGGCCTCCACCACTCCTTCATGGCCTCCCATCAGAAGGGGAGCCCCTGCTCTGTGCCAGGCCTGGCCACTCCCTGGGCAAATAAGGGGGGAACAAGCCCTAGCTCCATCCTCCTGGGCTGGCTGGAGTGACAGAGACAAACAGTGACAATTACGATATAGGGAAGAGTGTTCCAGGCATGTGCAAAGGGCCTGTGGCTGGTGGGACTATGGCACATCCCCGAATCCACGGAAAGGGCCTTCATGGCTGAAGCGGGGGCAGCACACGGGGCACAGACTGGCCCTGCCATGCAGCTTCTTGTGGGCCTTGCTCAGGGGTGAGCACGGAGCTTTGTGAGGGTGCCAAGCCCCTGAACGCAGCCTGGAGGAGGCCGTGGCGTTGGCTCTGTGTTGGTAGAAATTCCAGGGTCCCTCTGCACTGCCACTTACTTCCTGTAAGCCTCAGATTCCCTGTCTGGTGAATGGGGGTGAGGACTCCCGATGAGATCCGACACAGAGCTCGGTGAATGGAGGTCTGGGTTGTGTCCAACTCCCTTGTGTCGGTCATGTTGTGTTATAGTTTTCAGCCTGTGGGTGTAGCTTTCCCAACCCAACTGTGGGTTCCTGGGGGCAGTGCCTGCAGCCCCTCCTCTCTGAGCCCCTGCACTTGGCACAGAGGCACAGCCCAGAGACCCAAGAACTGTCTCAGGAGGTGAACCAAGTCCCCTGTGCAGCAGGAACGAAGCCCTTCCCTCCACAGGGTTCACTGTCTGCTTGAAAGACAAAGATATGACTTTTTCCACGGTGGGCAGGTGCGGATCCCAGGAGCTCTCCAGAAGCGTTGAGACCTTCATAACCTCCACCCTCAGCTCCTGGCTGGGGCCCCTCTCAAGTTTAGAGCCAGCATGGGCTATTTTCTTGGTTTTCTGAGCTGTAATTATGAACAGCTTTGACCAGCCAGTTTTCACCGTTTGCTCATTTGAGAATGAAGCCTCAGTCTGGCGTCGTAGCTCTCACCTGTAACCTCAGCACTTTGGGAGGCCAAGGCGGGAAGATCACCTGAGGCCAAGAGTTCAAAACCAGCCTGACCAACATAGTGAAACACTGTTTCTACTAAAAAAAAAAAAAAAAAAAAAAAAAAAAACATTAGCTACTTGGGAGGCTGAGGCAGGAGAATTGCTTGAACCCTAGAGGCAGAGGTTGCAGTGAGCAGAGATCATGCCACCACACTCCAGCCTAGGCAACAGAGCAAGACTCTGTCTCAAAAAAAAAAAAAGAGGGAGAGAGAGAATGAAGCCTTGAAGAGGAGGGGATTTTCTGAAGCCCCAGAACCAGCTACCCTGATTGCCTTACAGACAATCCCATCCCCCACCAGAGCCAGCAAGGTGGGATGGGGTTGAACTAAGATTCCCACGGGGACCAAGCCAGGAGGGGCTTGGCCAGCTCCTACCCCATGCCGGAGAGGGGCATGACTGGGCCAGGTGACACGGCAGGACCAGCCCAGAGCCCACCTTGGGGTCACATCCCAGCGCTCATCTCACAAGGCTGGGCCAGGCTGCGGACGCTCTGGATTCCTTTCCTGCAGCTGAGGCTCACACCAGCGCCTCCCAGATTTGTGCCAGGGGAGACCTGGCAGCATTTGCCAAGAAAGAGAGCTCTGGCCTTGGAGTGGCTGGGGTCTCCACGGCCCCCTTCACCAGCAGAGTGGCCATGCACCCTCCCCTCCCGCCAAAGCCACAGCCCTGACACCACTGAGCCTCTCAGACTCTCTCCAGTGACATGGCTGAACCGGCCCACCCACATGGCCAGCCCCACGCCTGTGATTTCAGAGAGAAGCTTAACGGAGATCTCACCAAATTCCACCCCTCAGAGGCTGAGCCAAATGCCCATGCCCTGTGACCATGGCCATCTCGCTGCCCCTCTCTGAATCTCCTCTTCTGAAAACTGCCTGCCATCACACCAACCTGCCAGGCACTTTTGAGCGGCTGATTTCCCAAATCTTAATTATTATTAAGATGTCCGTTTTACAGAATAACAACTGAAGCCGGAGAGTCTAGCTGGTGCACCCAGAGCCAGCCAGGTGGTGACCAGTGACTTGTGCAGCCAGAGGCCTGGGCTAGTGCCTGGATTCCCATCCCAGCTGCACTGTGACGCAGCGGCCTGGGGCAAGTCACCCACCGGCACAGCCTCGGTTTTCTCCTCTGTAAAGTGGGGGTGATAAGGGCACAGAATGAGCTTGAGCAGGTGCAGCTCTCAGCACAGGGCGTGGGGTTCTGTGGGCAGTGCCCTCCAGGCGTCTCCTCCCTTGGTGGTGATGGATGGAGATCTTTCATAGAACTGTGTTGGGAACATATAGATGAGGAATTCCATTTGCTATGACAATGATAATTCAATGGCTTCCTGAGTCTGAGGAATGTAAGTCCTGCCCACGTGGGAGCTGGGTCTCCAGTGTGAGCTCCAGGGCCCCTCCATCTCTGCCCTCCACATGCAGCGGGGAGGTCTGAGCAGGGCTTGTTTTTCAGCAATCCCCCAACCCTTCCCTGGAGGCTTCTCCGATATCCACAACTCCTTGCTGAGCACCTACTGCGTGCCAGGCATGGAGAGGCACCAGAGGAGAAGACGGACCCAGTGTGGTCAGGGCTATAATGGGGGCACGAGGGTCTATGGGAGGCTGGAAGCAGCTCCTGACCTATTGTTAGGGGGAGGGAGCACAAAAGGCTTCTAGAAGAGCAGGTCTAACCTGAGACCCAAAACTTCAATAGGAGTCAGCCAGGCTGAGGGTGTGGGATGCTCTGGCAAGGGGCACACGGTGTGCACAAAAGCCTGGGGCGAGAAGAACAGGACTCATTAGAACAGGGCTTGTAGGCATGTTAGTTTCAATATCCCACGGGGTGGGAGGGGTCATGGGGAGCCATGGAAAGTTTTAGGCAGGAAGTGACATATTCAGAAGCACCTTCCAGAAAGACTGCTCTGGCTCTCCTTAGGAAGAAGGATTGCAGGGCAAAGCACAAGCAGGGAGACCACCAAGGTGGCTGCTGCAGACGTCCGGGTGATAATGGGGGTCTGGACCAGGGTGGCAAAAGGCGGGGAAAGGAAGTGGTTAAAAAGATGTAGGCCAGGAGGCCGGGCGCGGTGGCTCAAGCCTGTAATCCCAGCACTTTGGGAGGCCGAGACGGGCGGATCACGAGGTCAGGAGATCGAGACCATCCTCGCTAACCCGGTGAAACCCCGTCTCTACTAAAAAATACAAAAAACTAGCCGGGCGAGGTAGCGGCGCCTGTAGTCCCAGCTACTCGGGAGGCTGAGGCAGGAGAATGGTGTGAACCCGGGAGGCGGAGCTTGCAGTGAGCCGAGATCACGCCACTGCACTCCAGCCTGGGCGACAGAGCGAGACTCCGTCTCAAAAAAAAAACAAAAAACAAACAAACAAACAAAAAGATGTAGGCCAGGCACGGTGGCTTACAACTGTAATCCCAGCACTTTGGGAGGCCGCGGCGAGAGGATTGCTTGAGCCCAGGAGTTCAAGACCAGCCTGGGCAACGTAGCAAAACCCCGTCTCTACAAAAAATACAAAAATTAGCCAGGTTTGGTGGGGTGGTCCGTAGTCCCAGCTACCTGGGAGGCTGAGATGGGAGCAATGCTTGAGCCCAGGGGGTTGAGGCTGTAGGGACCTATGATGGTGCCACTGCACTCACTCCAGCCTGGGTGACAGAGTGAAACCCTGTCTGGAAAAAAAAAGAAAAAAAAGAAGGTATAGAGGGTAGATCTGACAGGACAAGGGGGTGAGGGCCAAAGAGAGCGGGCCATGGGCTGGATGGTGGGGCCATCTCTGAGTCAGCCCACAGAAGAGAAGTGGGTGGGGGGATTCTCCATGGCCCTGAGTCCCTACAGCTCTCCTGGGTACCTCAGTACAGTCCTGCCCCTAGAACCGCCCTTCTCAGGCTGCACGGGGGAGCTGCGCTGGATGGAAACCCTCAGGTCTGTAGCAAGCAGAGGCCTTGTGGGTAGATAGCTGGCAGTCCTGGGGCCAAGTCCGAGGACATGGGGTCCTGCCTGCAGCCAGCAGAGGATGGAAGCCTCGGCCTGGACTTCCCACTTCCTGGATGAGGCATCTCAAGCTCCGCAGTGGAGGAGGGCCTGGCCCCGGGCAGTGGGGGGG